TGGGTGACAGTGAGACTCCAACTCAAAAAAAAAAAAAAAAAGTATAACCTAGTGGATTATTATAAGGTGAACCTTATAATAAAAGCTTAAAACCTTAATATATGAGGGGAACCCAAAAAAACCCAGAATTATCTTTTGAAGGGTAGATCCCTTGTACTACAGGCTTTCCCTGCTAGGTAAGTGTTCTAGGAACCCATCGCATCAGTGTACCTCTCCCAACGTGCTGGAATTACAGGCATGAGCCACTGCGCCTGAGCTTAGATTTCACTTTTGCTGTATGGGCTTTTCTCTTTTTTTTTTTTTTTTTATTTGAGGCAGGATTTTGCTCTATTGCCCTGGCTGAAGTGGTGGTGCAGTCATTACTCATTGCAGCCTTGAACTCTAGGCTCAAGCAATCCTCCTACCTTAGCCTCCCAAGTAGCTAGGTCTGCAGATGCATGTCACTATGCCTGTCTCATTTTCTAATTTTTTGTAGAGATGGAGTCTCACTATGTTGCCCAAGCCAGTCTCAAACTTCACATTCAACAGATCTTCTCACCTCAGCCTCTCAAAGCATCAGGATTATAGGCCCGTGCTACCTTGAACTTTCTTCTGTTTATTTTATATGAATGATAAACATAAATATGAATACAAGGACAAACATTTCCTTTCATTTTTTTTCCCTTATAGGTGAATATAAATATTCAGGAAGAGATAGTTTGATTTTTTTGGTGGATGCCTCCAAGGCCATGTTTGAGTCTCAGAGTGAAGATGAATTGACTCCTTTTGACATGAGCATCCAGGTAACACTTCCTTTTTATTTAATTAAAAAAGACAAATATCCTATGGTGTGCACTGAACTTAAAAAAAAAGGTAAGATTAATACCACTTTAAAATTTATGGATTCTTTGAAAAGTTTGTGAATGATGGCTAGTTTTCCAGGAGGGCATATATGCAGCTGAAAAAGAGTAGCAGCATTAGAGAACAGTTCCATTTAATTCTGTATTTGAATTTAGGACTCTGTAGGAATACACTGCCCCACATTGCCCCAAGAAGTAGGGTTCTTCTGCAGAGATGGGAGAGTAAAGGAAGCAGGGAAGTTCCAGCAATGATGGTATGGGAGAGAGTCCTCTTGTAAATGGTATTTGGAAATTGAATACTGTCTGGGAAGCTGGGTGTGATAGCTCACACCTGTAATCTCAGCACTTTGGGAGGTGGAAGTGAGAGAATTGCCTGAGCTCTTGTGTATGAGACCAGCCTGGGCAACATGGTGAGACCTCATCTCTACAATAAACCAAAAAATTAGCTGGGCATGGTGACACGTACCTGTAGACCTAGTTGCAGAAGCTACTGGGAAGGCTGAGGCAGAAGGACTGCCTAAACCCAGCAGGTCTAGACTGTGGTAGCCATGAGCATGCCACTGCACTCCAGCCTGGGTGATGGAGCGAGACTCTGACTCAAAAAAAAAAAAGGCCAGGCATGGTGGCTCAGCCTGTAATCCCAGCACTTTCGGAGTCTGAGGCAAGAGAACTGCTTGAGCCCAAGGGTTTGAAACCAGCCTGGGCAACTTGGTGAGACCTCATCTCTACAGTAAATCACAAAAATTAGCCTGAAGCGGTGGCGTGTGCCTGTAGTTCCAGTTACTTGGAAGGCTGAGGCAGAAGGATCACATAAGCCCAGCAGGTTGAGGCTGCGGTGGCCATGAGTGTACCACTGCACTCCAGGCTGGGTGACAAGTGAGACTCCAACTCAGAAAAAAAAAAAAAAGAAAGATTACTACAATAAAGACAACCCCAAATGTAAAATAGGCAGAGGACTTGAATAGACATTTCTCCAAAGATATACTAGTGGCTAATAAGCACATGAAAAGATGTTCAGTATCTTTTGTCATGGGAGTAATGCAAATTAACACCACAGTGTGAGGTACCACTTCACACCCTCTATATACAAAAGCTGTAATAAACACAACAGCAGAAAATAAGTGGTGAGACTGTGGAGAAATTGGAATCCTTGTGCATTGCTGATAGGAATGTGAAATGGTATAGCTATTATGGAAAACAGTTTGGCAGTTCCTCAGAGACTTAAACATAGAATTACCATTTTACCCAGGAATTCCATTCCTTATATATAATCAGTAGATTAAAAATTGAGTACTCGCCAGACTTGGTGGTTCAGCCTGTAATCCCAGCACTTTGGGAGGCCGAGGTGAGTGGATTGCCTGAGCCCGCGGGTTCGAGACCCGCCTGGGCAACTTGGCGAGACCTCATCTTTACAATAAATCAAAAATTAGCTGGGCGTGGTAGCGCTTGCCTGTGGTTCCAGCTACTTGGAAGGATCACCTAAGCCCAGCAGATCGAGGCTGCAGTGGCCATGAGTGTGCCACTGCACTCCAACCTGGACAACAGAGTGATATTCTCTACTCAAAAAAAAGAGAGAATGCAGACTGGTAGTTATCTGGGGGAGGGAGGGGGTTCTGCTTAATGGGTACAGGTTTTTCTTTTGGGATAATGAAAATGTCTTGGAACTAGAGAGGAGGTGGTAACCACTTAATTGTTCACTTTAGAAGGATTAATTTTGTTATATAATTTTCACTTTAATTAAAAAGATAACTTTCTTTTGTGTGTTTCATAGAGTAGAATTTTCTTTTTTTTTTTTGAGTTGGAGTCTCACTCTGTTGCCCAGACTGGAGTGCAGTGGCCGCTCCTGGCCACCGCAGCC